TTCTTCCACTGGTTGCTAAAAGTGATTCATTTCCAATGCATGTCTATCTTTGAGATTCAAAGATATCATATAGCCTCTTACCCTTGTCCCCAAAATCCAGACTTATGAATTTCCCAGATATGGCAAGAAAGCCACAGTCGGGGCAGTCTAAGTGAGTCTTACCTCACAAGTCCTTTTCTTGACTCTACTCATCTGTCTTACTGGGGCTAGTTGGCTCCTAAAAATCTCTGAAGACAACTTCCTCCCTCCCTCATTGCTGAGAGATGCCAGGGAAAAGTCTTCCTAATAAAACACCAACCATTTGCAGCAATTTTATCTGCAAAGATTTCCTGCTGTTGCTAAATGGTGTGGTTGCTTGGTTTGTTATTTAAAAGAGTGACCCTAGTGAGACCAGAGGCCTGCTGAGGAAAGTGTCCTATTTCAGAGGAATGTAAGTGGAAGGAGCTGGAGGGGAGAGTGTCTAATTGAATTCTATAGATGTCCCTAGAGTATAGTGGCAGTGATGACACCTTTGCCGTAGGGCTACCTCTTCACAACCCCTCTCCCCCACTAGTACCACCAAGCCCTTCTATATCCTAAGAAAATAATATATTAGAAATCCCCATGAGAAGCTAAGGATTGAAGTTCAGAGCCATTTGAAGCTGCACTGGGGGTGCCAGGGAGATAGCTCAGTGGCATAACTGCCTGCCTGGGTTTGATTCCAGGGAGAGAGAGAGAGAGACAGAGAGAGAGAGAGAGAGAGAGAGAGAGAGAGAGAGAGAGAAAGGAAAGAAGGGAAGAAGGAAGAAAAGAAAGACGGAACGAAGGAAGGGAAGGAGGGAAGGAGGGAGGGAGGGAGGAACTGTGCCCAGGAGAAACAGAAGGAAGTAACAATGGAGACATGTGAGGAACACAGGTTCAGTACATAGACAGGGGGACCCATCTAAGTGAAAGTGTCTAGCAGGCAGGTTTATGCCCCCAGAAATTCAGAGAACCAGAACATGAGGTACAGCAACCACAGAAATCTCTTTTCTGGTGGAAAAAGACAAGAAATCAAGTGAGGCTGGCCTCTTGCTCTGGCTAGCTGTGTCCTTCACATGGGTGCCTAAGGCATGAACAGCCTGCTACACACAGTCCTTACTGCTGCTGGGGTGGCTACACTTGAGAAAATGGAGCTGGGCGAGTGTGGTCCCCTTGCCAGTAACTTCTATTGAAAGAGCTCAGAGGACCAAGGAGAGGCACTTTGCTGATGAGCCACTGAGTGCCTCTCAGATGTCTGATAGGTGGGAACAAAGGTTAAAGCCGTTGGTGGTTTCAGAGGCATGTGATTGGAGACCAGGCTTCAGAGATAAATTGCACTCTGGTCAGAATGATAATACCTGAAGATCACTATTGACCCAAAAGATGCTTTAAGTAAAAGGAGGCATTCCTGGGTCATATATTTGGGCTTTAAGGTAACATTCCCTTGATTTGTGTTGTTTGGCTAGATGTTTCAGTCCCAATGTTCCTTAATGGCTAGCTTTTATCTTAAATAGCAACATTTGAGGAAATAATCTGAATTGGATTTGAATTGAACAAACAACAGTGGGAGAAAGCAGGCATCTACAGAACTGATGCAACTGTAACTTTTTACAGGGAACTTTTAAAAGTCTGTTCCATTGAGCAAGTGTACCCTGAGTCTTGAAGAATATCATTCGTTCACTTCCCTGTGCCACACACTGTGCTGGGAAAGAGGACAGAGAGATGAGAAAGGTAGGAAGTCACTGCTATCCCAGAATTCACAAGGAAGTAAGATAACAAAGCGCATTATCATAGCTTGAGGAATGGTTTTATTGGAAAAGTACAAGATGCACTGAAGGCATATAGCAGGCTAATAGCCCAAGGCTCAGGAATGAGTTCTTTAGAAGTGATGCCAAGACAGAAGCCCTGGAAAAACATGATGAGCCAGGTAAAGGACCACCTGCATGTGGTGCGAAAAGGTGCTGGGGAGCACACTCAAGACAAAGGAGATAGCTGGAAGTGAGAGAGAACAGAGTATCGTCAGATCACTAAAGTAAGTTCAGTACTGCAGGAAGATGATATTCAAGTGAGAGAAGAGCACCAGGCAATTTTGGAAAGGCAGGCAGCACTCATGCTGTGGAAGACTTTATTAACTATGTTAAGGAGATTGGTCTTTATGATAGGAACAATGAAAAGCCACTGAAAGGCATTAAGCAGACAAACGATGAAATCACATTTTCATTTTAGATCATTCTAGCTGCAATGTGAATGAAAAAAAACAGAACTGAGTGCAGGGAGATAATTTAAGAGGCCCTGCAGCAATGCAGGTAGGAGGAGACGGACTGGGACAGATAGGGAAGGGAAGATGAAAACAAGGCAAAGCATTCCAGAGGAACTGAGACACGAAAATCCATATCGTGGGTAACTATGAGGGGTCAGGGATACAGAGTCAAGGACATCTTGGAAATTTTTTGTTTCACGCAACTTGGTGAGACGCTGTCTATTAGTGGCAGCTGCTATTTGGCTAGGAGACAGTGGAAAAGGCTTGCTAGAAGGGTTGAGCACTTGAGATTAGATACATTAAATTCTAAGGGCCATGGCACCAAAGGGATCATATCAAGTCATGCTTAAACATACATATAGAATTTTTTTTATGTATTTGGTACAAGATCTCACTACACAGCTCAGACTCATAGTGATCCTCCTGTTTTCAGCCTCCCTAGAGCTGGATTATAGGTGTGCACCACCACACCCAGACTCGGTGGCTGGCTCAGCGTGCACCGGTGCAGGGCCAGCAAGGCATGTGGTGGTGGGGATCAAATCCCAGTCCGCAGGCACTTAGTCCACTGAGCTGTAAACCCCAGGAAGGGAATCTGGCTAGAGATGTCAATGTAAGGAATATTAATTATATGCTTCAAAGTGATGTGAAGAAGGTATGGGAGTGAACCCTGAGGAGCACCAATATCTAAGGATTGAAAGGGCATGTAACAACCCCCAAAAATGTGGAGTGTGTTAAGCAGCCTTAAAACCAGAACTATTAGACAAGAAGAAGGAAAATCTAAGAAATCTGCATGTAATGAGGGATGACAGCTGGGAAGAGTGGGAGAGCAGAAAGCACAAGGTAGCAGAGTATTAGGACTGGATCATGTATACAGCCGCACTGAAGCTGCTTGTAATTTCTACCCTAAATTAAGAATAGGGTCTTAAAACTACAGTCTGGCTCCCTGCAGAGGTTAGAAAGTATAAGCAGGTACCCAACGAAACTTCATAAAATGTATTTTAATGTTCCCAGAGCACATTTTTCTAATAGTTTATTTCCTAAGCTAGGTGTAGGATAACTGCATACGTACTGCTTTTGTAAATGTTTTGTTCTCTGTCTAATATAGTTCAAAATAAGCTTAAAATGAATGCCCAGAGCATATTGTTCAGTAAAATAAAGTCAGGTAGTGAACAGCAGGTATTTCCATTTACATGAAATTTTAGATTGAGATCAGTATAGATATACCATATGTACACCGCAAGGTGTCTAGAAAGATATTCACTACTTATTTCAATAATGATTATCTGTGGATAGTTGGATTTAAGGTCATTTTAATTATCTTGTTCATGTTCTATTCTGTTTTTAGTTTTCACAATGTGCCTAAAGAGCAGTTTTCTACAAATAATAAAACTGTAAAAATACAGTGTAGTACCTTCTACCCCAACACAGTCAATTAATCCCTCTAAGAGGGACTCCAGCCCTGGCTGGGCTATTTGAGGTTTTGCTAACCAAACCAAACTAAGAACAATGGTCTTATTGTTAAAGACAGGGAATAGAGAAGCAAAGAAGACAAAACCACATTTTTTTCCTTTAAGGAAAAAAAAAAAATATATATATATATTTTTTTATATATATATATATATATTTTTTTTTTGGCAGAACCAGGGACTGAACTTGGGCCCTTGTACTTGCCAGGCAAGTGCTTATTTTACTGAGCTATCTCCCTGCCCCCCCAAAAGATTATTCTTTATGAGCTAGCAGGTCCATATAACCTGTTTTCCATTCCTTCCCAATGCAGCAACACTCCAGAGGAAACAGGAGGTGTGGCCTCTCATCTTTATGTCTGGTGCATCTCTCTGAATGACCAAGTGCAGCAGAGAGGCCTGGGTACAACTCCAAACTGATCCACTTACTTCTAAGCAAGACTGTGGACAGTTTACACCCATAGCCTTATTCTCCTCATTGTAAAGTTGAAGCATTTTAAAAACCAACTATCATATGTTTTCAAGGAATAAATGAAGACAATGATGCAAAACACTTAAGGTAACATGCACCACATAGTAAGAACTTAATCCATGGAAGTTATATAGAGCAAGAACACAGGACAGCAAGGTCTGGTTCTGTAACACTCCCAGTATCATGACAAACTACCCTGCCCAAGGCCATTCCCACACCAGTTGCCATCTTGGATGGCTCTTCACAGAGTCTGAACCCCCAACTTTAGTCTGTGAAGTGTCCCCTGGTCTCCACCACTGCATGCTCCCTGCTGCACACTCACCTATTGAGCATGTTTGACTGGTAGATTCTCTTCTCATGGGTGTTATAGCAACTGCTCTTGGGCTCGGGGATGAAGCTGTGCTCAGATAGCATGTCGGAAGCAGCGGTGGTGATTATGGCAATCCCGTCTCTCACTCTGGCAGGGAGGCCATAGTCCCATTCATCATATGACACAGAGATGAGGCCAGTAGGGAACTCTGAGGGCACCGTGTCGGTATCCCCTGCCACCAGACTCGGCACGATCCATGTGTAGCCATAGCCAGTCAGCCCTACTGAGTTAGCCACTTCAAAGATGTAGGTAGCTTCTTCCTTAGTACAATAAAGGAGAATAATGGGGCTTTGAAGTTTCTTGAGCTGGTTCTGGATTTTAGAATCTCCATCATCCAGGGACATGTCCAGTAAGAGGACTTCCTCCAGCTCCCAGCCCACAAAGCTATTCTCGATGGTGCTGCGGATCTTGTTTACAAAGTCTTGGTAGCCAGGGAAGTAGGTGGTGACAATAGAAAAGATGTACCAGTCATATTCTTCCATGATGTTGAGCATTACAGAAGCTTGCTGTTCAATTGATGGGCCAAACTGGAAGAACATAGAGGATTCATCCTAGAACAGTAAGGGTGTGAAAAAAAAGAGAGGGAGAGAGAGAAATCAAATCAAAGATGACAGAGATTTTGAACCTGTTGAATATAAAGGTTCACATCCATTATTTATCTTTTCATATAATACTTATAAATATTTTAATTTTCAATAAAATGTATTTTAAAAACCAGAATTCCAAACATTTATAATAATTTTCATCTAAAAGAATCTCCTTAGATTCAGACAAAATCAACATAAGTTTATACTCCCTTGGTCTCAGATCCTAAGACAGTTCCTCAAAATCATATTTTTTTAGGGCTGGGGAGATGGTGCACTAGAATAAGTGCTGCCCTGGTAAGCACAAGGGCCTGAGTTCAATCCCCTGTTCCACAAAAATAAAAAAATCACATTTGATTTTTTTGTATTTTAGGGAAGGATCTATAGGGTGTTCAGGGTCTCTCTACTAGATTGGACTCTTAGTGATCCATCTGTTTATAGCCTCCCAGGAGCTGGGATTATAGGCAAGCACCACCACACCCAGTCTCAATTGCCATCTCAGCATGCCCCGGGGACAGGGCCAACACAGCAGGCCTGTGGATTGAACTCCTGGCCCCTGTGCCTCCTTGCAGGCACTTTAATCCACTGAGCTATTTGGCTAGCCTCTAACATTGCATATGTTATTAATTCTATAGAAAAGCAAGTCACATAAAATAGAAGCAAGACTCTAGTAGGCTCATGTCAGCTCCAGATAGGCTTTGGTATCAGAGGAGTCAAACACACACATGCTCACGCAGACCCACACATGCGTATTCTCCAATTGTTCATCATATTCTCCAATTTTGGAATATCTTTATTACAGATGCAGATCATTCAGTACCAGAATAAATCATGTAAAATACCACCAATCTGTCCTTAGAACTATCTGTGATGATGGTTTAGGTTTACCTGCCCAGGAGATGGGTGACATAAAGGTTCTGGATACCAGGAAGCAGTACATGTAAATGTGTAACTGTTAATTAATAGCATTATCAATTATTCTATCACTTTGGCTCTGATAAGACAGGCACGTTAGAATAAGGCTCAAATGGTATATCTAAGCCACACATTAAAATTCCTAGTATTTAAGTACATACATGATTCTTTATTTTAAAGAAACAGGGAGGATTGTTCTTTTTTTTAAATTTAGGACAGGATGTACAGGGTGTATAGGGTCTCACTGTGTAGATTGGACTCAGTGATCCTCCTGTTCACAGCCTCCCAAGTGCTTGGAGGCTGGGATTACAAGAGCAAGCCGGGACTGGGGAGATGGCTCAGTAGAATAAGCGCTTCCCCGGCGAGCACAAGGGCCTGAGTTCAATCCCTGGTTCCACAAAAACAAACAAACAAACAAACAAACAAACTTCATCAAAAGGTAAATTAAATAGGAAAATAAGAATGCATTTTGAATTGTTATGGTCAAAACAGTTGCTCAGAGTGCAAGATGTGAACATAAAAACTTCTACAAGTGCAAGCCACCACGCCCAATCTTAATCACTGTCTCAGTGGGTCCCAGGGGTGGGGCCAGCAGGCCAGGGGATCGAACTCCGGGCCCCTGCCCCCTGCATCTGCCTAAGCAGGCGCTTTAATCCACTGAGCTATTTGGCCAGCCCTTTTTCTTTCTTTTTGCCCATATAAAGCCACAGGTTTGGACTGGCCTCTGCATCACACGTTCACCATTCTAGCAATTTTGATCATCTCTTATTTTTCCCTTCCTTTCAAGGGATAAGCCATTTAAAGTCTCCCCCATTTTAAGCTGCACTTCACCTGCCATGCTGAAATGTCAAGCCCTGTATTTTATCTCCACCTTATTGCTACGAGAATCTGAAGCTGCAAAACGAATACCCTCTCAGCCATGTCTTTCTCTTTCAGTCCATTTCCTGCTGATTTCCTCCTGGGTAATGGCATCTCTCTTCTTCATCTGTGCCTACCTCTCTTATCCAATGATTCATTTCCATTTTATAACAATCCAGGCTAATAAAATTGTGTCTCTCTCCAAGGGGCAGTTCCTTTTTATCCCTCAACTAAAGCTCCAAAATACAGTGACAAGAGACCAGGAAACTGGGCATTTAGACAAAATTATATAGTGATTTCTTGGCTTGGGAACATACTGTTGTATAGCTGAGAAATTGCTGAGTATTTCTTGGGCAGCCACTATTGAAGAAAATTACCAGGTGGGAAACATCCAGCAGGTGTGAAAGCCCCTGATTCAGCAAGGCAAGCTGCAGCCCCTTGGCCGTGCCAGAGTTGTATTTGCCCTTATGGTTTGGTCTCTTCTCATTCTACAGGCTACTCAAAAGGAAAGAGTAGATGCCTAGTTGTTTGTGGTGACTCTTTCTATTAAGGGGGAAGAGTGGTGATCCTGGCTCCCCCTGGCTGGAACACAGAGTTGAAGGGAAACCTCAAAAGATTATGGAATTCACAAAAGTAGGGAGGCTGGGGCCCCAAGAATGGGTGGGTAAGGAGAAAGGAATTCATTTGTGATAAATTTTATGATGCGTGTTCATTGCAAGTCCTGATCAATGGGTATAAACCCCTCTTCCTGGACTTCTACTACATAAGAACAATTTTTCAGACCTGTCCTGTGGTAAGGTGGTACTATGATCTAAATTTTTACGTTTCCACTAAATTCATATGTTGAAATTCTAACTCCTAAAATTATGTCATTAAGCATTGGATTCCTATGGGAAATTAGTTAGGATGTGAGGATGGCACCCTTATGAATGGGATTAGTGCCCTTATTATTTTTCTTAATAAAAAAGACTCAAAGTATTGCCTTGACCCTCCTACTTTGTGTGGATGCAGGAGAGACCACCTATGAAACAAAGAATAATCCCTTGCCAGCCAGCCACTAAATCTTTTGACACCTTAGCCTTGGGACTTCCCAGCCTTTCTACAACTGTAAAAACTAAATTTATATTGTTTGTGAGCTACCTAGCCTGTAGTATTTTTTCTAGCAGTCCAAAAAGACTGAAATAAATGGAAATAAGAGACAAGAAAGATTAATTATTCCAAGATTTATCAGGTGCTCATACAGAACCCCAGAAACAGTAAAGGAAGTCTGGTGACAGAGTGGCTTACTTTGAATAGCTATAGCTTTAAAGAAATACCTATTTGTTTTTCTTATTGCTTCTGGCTAAGGGAATGGGGGTCATTCTCCAATAGGAAATATTATTTCATGAGTTTCTACAAGCTCAGAGGTCACAGCAAAGTGTAAAAACTTTCAAATATACCTTACGGCATGATGGATGTACTCCCAATTGCAAATGAAGTCAGCCTACCTGTTCTGTGACAGGTAAACAGGTTTCATCAGAAGAAGATTCTTGAATACACGCACAGTTACACATACAGTGAAACTATCACTGGCCCCAATACAGGGCAAGAATTGGCTTTTAGATCCCCACCAGGCACTCTCATAGGGAGGTTTCAATTTGAAGAAAATTAATTTATTGAATACCAATGTGCCACTCCCCTCTCTTGGTCTTCTCCTAATACTCTGTTACACTTTCAAATGAACTTGTAAACATACCACCAGCTGTTATGCAAAATCATTGCATGGTGAGAATGACAAAAGAGAAAACAACGCAGCTCCCTCATACCCCTACCACAGCCACACCTCTCCTGAGTCTGTTGCCCTACACACCTTATCCTATTTTTGACTCCTCTGTCTCCATCAACACCCAGCTCAGCCATTTTATCTTGCTAATCTTTCATTAATTAAGGATGCCTTCTATGGCCATTTTATCTGGCACCAAGAGGAGGTTACTGAAGCCAACAGAAATCAAGAGACAGAGTTATAGTGTGGGCAAATGTTTCCCAGCATAATGAGTAGTCCAGTGTTATTAATTTAGTTGACACATCAATCTGGTGTATAGTGGCCTGGAATGGAACAGCTCTTTTTCTTTTTTTTTTTTTTTTTTTTTTT